GTGTGATGGTGGGCAGCTGTATTCTTTGGCACTTATTTTTCTATACACTCGACTACAGGCTAACAAAGTAATAATAATCCTCCAGCACCTCAGAGATTCCTGCTGCCTGTCTTCTGAGGAGCTTAATGAGACTCGAGAAAATTGCATTACGATATCTCTTAAGGATGTTTCAGTGTCATGTGTTTCTTATTGCTCTGGGGTGTCTCCTGTATGTTGTGCATCACTTGTGGGGTGTTGGGCTGGGGACTTTGCCGACATTATCCAATTTAAGCCTTGCAGCAGTCCCACAAGGGAGTTAGTACTAACACCATCCTGCCGGTGAGGAGACTGAAGTTCCCCTCCAATAGATTGTGCCAGCATTTCAGATGAGAATGTCCTGTCCACATGGACTAGGGGTGGAGAGCCCAGGTCTGGGAGTCAGGCTGACCTGAGCTTGAATCCTGGAGGACTGTGGATAACTCAGCCATCATCTCTGAGCTTCGGGCTCCTCACCTGGAGCACAGAGATGACATGTGTACCGTAGAGCAGTGGTTTAACCTTGGCTGTACGTTCACATCACCTGCGGAGCTGTTGAAACGCTACATAGACCCCACCCAAGACCAATTTGATCAGAGGCACCGGGGGCTTAACCTCACTTCTCATCCCCAGAGGTTCCTGTCACACTTCCCGGAGGACAGAAGTCCTTAGTGAAGGTGAGGTTCTAGGGGAGAGTTTGCTTCTTCCAGCTTCTGGGGGCTCCAGGAATTCGGTGGTCTATGAATGCATGTCTCCAGCCCCTGTCTCCGACTTCAAGTGGCCTCCTCTCTGGGTCCTCTTTTCTGTCTCTTATAAGGACTCTTGTTTTGGGATTTAGGGCCCACCCTCTTCAGCTAGGATGATCTCACCCTCTAGATCCTTAGTTTCATTACATCTGCTAAGACGTTTTTTTCCCAAATAAGATCTCATTCTTAGGTACCAGAGGTGAGGATTTGGACATATTTTCAGGGGATCACCAATCACTGCAGAGAACCTTCACTGTGTTTTCTGACTGTACCCGGTTGGGATCCAGCAACAGTTTGGAGATGCATAATCCCTCAGCCACACTAAATCAAGTTTTACGTCTTGTTAAAATAAGCCAACCCCTGAAACCAAAGTGTGGGAAGGCCCAGGGGATTTGTAGCATCAGAGATGAAGGTGGAGGTTTATAAACTTTATTTTAAAATAAGGAAACCTGGAAATGAACGTTTAAGATGTGAAACAGTCCAGTTCTCTTATAAAGAGTAAGTGCTTCAACAGAGTTTAAATCAGAACCAAAATACCGGAGTAGCTATAGAAACACAAACTAGAAATTTAAAGAATAAAAAAATATAAAAAGATGTAAGAAAGGTCGACTGATGTATGAATGGGGCAATTTAGGTGTTTATGTTCACAAACTCAAGTGAGAACGTGAGAGTGGCAGATAACAATTTCAAGAGGAGTGGGTGTTTGGGGGGAAGGCGGGGAGGAGGCGTAGAGGGGAGGGGGCGGACCATGAAAAGGGGGAACGTTTGCAGTGACCAGAATATTTCAGATAAGATCCAGTGGTCTGGTTTTTTACATTCTGTTTGTTTAATTATTTCGCTTCTCTTCATCCGAAGGCGTTCAGCTGAAATGTTCATTTCTGATCTTGAGTTTTGATTAAAGGAGTCCTCTGGTAAATCCTTCTCCCTTTCCTCCCTCCAGCTCTTTGAAAGTGAATCCCTAATTACAGGCCACGTATGAGATTTACTAGATGAAATCAGCAGCTGTGGATATGACACCAGACTTGCAAAAAAATCAACACACACTGTTGCCATAAAAAGCCCAATTGTTAATTGCTTTTTGGGCATCTAGCTATAACAAAAACACCCTTTTGCTGTTTAACATTAAAAGTAAATGTAGTGGAAAGAACATTGGGTTAGAATTAGGGGAGGCTGGGATTCTTGTCCCAGCCCTGTTACCAAGCGCCCGTGGTTTGGGGACAAACTATTTCATTTCTCTCAGGCCTCAGTATCCTTACCCATAAAATTGAGGCTATGAAATCAAATTATCACTTCCAGCTTAAAAACCCTATTCTGTGCCTTGAAAATACAGAGTACTTCTCATTCCCATCTAGCCTTTTCCCTAAACATTACTTCACAATAGCCTAATAAAGTCTGACAATTGTGCGGTTCAATGGGGGATCACACACGGACATAAGTACCTGCACAGTTTCGCTGTGCAGGCAGTTCTTTCCCGGTCTTATTCAGAACTGAAGCTTACTGTGAGGCCCCACAATTCTTAACTGCTTTGGAAATAAAATCTGCCGGTGTTCCACGTTTAATGTGACAGTGTCATATTTCATTCTTCAGATGTCTGGAATCTACATGAAGATTCTAGAATAGGTATCATTTCAAGTTCAACAGTGGTCGGCTGAAGGAACAAGTTGAGGCTAATCCATAAATCAGGGGCTTGGGGAGGGGGTGGGGCACAGCCAGCTGACCCCGGGCCTCCATCCTCAGGCCTCTGCCAGACCCACAGCACCTGTGGACCTGAGGGGAGTGAAGGCAGCTCAGGCCACTGGCACACCTGCTTTGTTCACTGGGTCCTTGGTCTGTTACGCGTCTGGGTTGCCAGGAGCGTTGGCCTCTTGCTTTCACCTGCCTGCTGGCTCTACAGCTGTCCTTTGCTTACAGCCTCCACTCAGGTCCACGAGGGTTGGCCTCTGTGTGTTCCGGTTGGCCACAGCGTGCAGCCCTTGTCTTTTGAGCCTCAAGATAATTGTCCACGGGCTGAGAATTATACTTATCACTTGCCTCTTGTGGGAAAGTCGAAGGGCAGATGGGGAAGGAAACCAGCTGCCCCGTTTGACCCCGGCTTTCGTATCTTTAAGTCATGGGAGCTGCGTGGCTGCTGTACACGTCTTTGTCTGTGGCACCTGTGCACATAGCTTGCTGTATGAATTTTTGGTGCGTTCTGTGCAAGGACAAAGCAGCGTGCCTTCTCTTCATCTTTGGAGATCCAGTCACTGCATCCATTTTGGAACCTACTTGATGCTTTGTTTTGTTATTTCTTGCTAAGGAACAATTATCCCAGAATTTAGCGGCTTAAAACAAAAGTGCGTTATTTCTCAGAATTCTGCCATCTCAACTGGGCTTAGCTGGGCAGGTCTTCTGTTCCTCTTGGTGCGTGCTTGGACTGAAATATCAAAGATGGCTTTTTCACTCACATGCCTGGCTTTTCAACTGGAATGAGTGAGCACCTCTTCACGTGGGCTTCCTCAGCATAGTGGTCTCAGGGTAATCAAACTGGACTTTTTACATTGTGGCAGGCTTCCAGTCTCCAGCTTCCCTTAAAAGACCTGAACTGACCCAGTGTCTCTTCTGCCACGTTCTAATGGTCGAAGCAAGTCACAGGTCAGTCTAGATTCATGGGGAAGGAAGTAGCCCCCACCTCTTGGTGAGACAAACAGCATGAAGGCACAGTGAGGGAAGGAACTGATGGTGACCATCTTTGGAGATTATCTACCGTAGTCTCCCTGGTGCTATGTCTCTTGATTTAATTATATCTCTTTGTTCTTAATGGCATTTTATGGTATAGGAACACAGATCAGGGAGGAATTAGTCTCATGGCCTTAAAGATCAAATCTTTTACCAGCAATTCCGGGGTCCTTTGTAAAGGCATTGCTGTCTCTGCCCCAGGCTGTAGGATTGAGCATGTTACTCAAAGGCTTCACTGACTGCCTTGGAAAGTGCAAAAATGGCCAACATCACTTGAGCACTTGCCATGGGCCAAACTCTATGCTTATCCTTTTTTCATTTATAATGTTATTAAATTATTATACTCTTTCCAGGCCCATGCACATAATTTCAGTGGCCATTTCTGAGTTGATCCAGGTGATAAAAATATAGCATGGCCAATTTGGTACCAAAGATTCAAAAATGCTATCCACACTCAACAACACCAACCCCTCCACTCCACTTCAATAAGTGCCTCCTGAATCCCCGGAAGACATTAGCTTCTATTTTCCAAAGAAGAATCTATGGCAGGAATATTGCTTACTAATGGATCTTAGATTCCTTTCACGAGCCCAAGTTCTACTTCTTTGATGTTAAGCACCGCAGAAGCACTTATTTTCTTGGGGTACTTAGTATGCATTCTCTTTTCCTCACACCCTTCCAGGATTCCTTTTGTCAGTTTTGCATCCTATTAATTATATATTTGCCCGACTCTGGTCCCTTTCTATCCCCAGGCCCATTAACTTCCTGCAGTTGCTACACATAAGGAAAGACCCTGGAGGAAAGTTAGGGAACAGAGACCATCCAAGTAGATTTGAGTCCATTCTGTTGAGTGGAGGGAAGTGCCCTGTGATCACACACAGACCACACCCTTCCGACCACACGTACACCAGCTGCCCTCTGACAACCCTCAGCGTGAAGAAATCAGGTCGAGAGAGGCCATAATGTAATGCCTGACTCTATGCCGTGCCTACAATGCGCATTCAGTAAACACACTTAGGTTAATGATTACTATAATATCATTTTATGCAAGAATATCAGCAAACCCAGAGCCAATGCACACCCTGAAAAATTGTACGGAGATAGTACACAGCGTTTTTTTATATTATTTTTATGTATTTTTCACAGCTTTATTAACATCTAATTTATATGCCATAAAGTTCACCCATTTAAAGTCTACAACTCAATGGTTTTTAGCATGTTTACAGCGTTGTGAGCCATCACCTCAAATCTAATTTTAGAGCATTTTCATCATCCCAGAAAGAAACTTCGTTCACATAGCAGTCAGTCGCCATACCAGCACTCTCCTCTAGCCTTAGGGACACAGATCTACGGCCTCCATAGATTTGCCTATTCTGGGTGTTTCATATAAATGGAATTTTACACTGTGGCCATTGGTGACTGGTTTCTTTCACTTAGCTTCCCTTCTTCACTTATGTCATATAAATGATGGTTGAATTTTTAAGTTATCCTTTTCTCTCATATATATATTTTTTTTTCCCCCAGGATCCTAAGCACTTCAAATCTGAGAAGACAGGACGGGGACAGTTAAGGGAAGGCTGGAGAGACAGTCATCAGCCCATCATGTGTTCCTACAAGCTGGTGACGGTGAAATTTGAGGTCTGGGGGCTTCAGACCAGAGTGGAACAATTTGTACACAAGGTAAGTGAATGGACGGCAGTTCCTGGACTGTGGACAAAGTGACTCTATGATGTAAACTGGAGCGTCCGATGCCCAACAGGTGTACAAGTGCTGAGTCAACACGAGGTCCCTGCATCTAGAAAACCCTGTTTTCATGAAAATGCATTTTGCCTACAGTTTAATGTTCTTCCACTAACAGATACTTGACACTTCATCTCTCATTATGTGACCTCCATGTCTATTGGGTGAGTATGTTCAGGAAGTTGGACTTTCAAAATATACTCCCTCTCTGACATCAGGCTAATCTAGTTCCAGGTAGAGGTACTTGGGGTCTGGGGTTCCAGGCAGAGGCACCCAAGGAGAGTTCTCACTCAACAGATCGTGCAGATATAGACAACTGAGGTAGAAGATGCCCCAAGAGACAGAACAAGAAATCCCAGTGGTCCCTTTTGGTGGTGCACCTCAGCCGTTCTGCTCAGTTAATAATTCTGCTACCAAAGAACTATTAATAATCTCAAAACACAGATTTCAACTGTATACCTACTTTGAACATGTTAATTTTGTAGCAGGAACCCACTTGGTGATGATTGAAGTTTGTTAGGGGCCTTCTAACATGACTCTCATCCTTATGGAAATTAATGGGAAATGCAGTGTTAAACATTGTCCTTTGTAACTCCTATTTTCATTAAAAAAAAAAAAATACTACCCAAGTTGTCTCTCCATTCCAGACAGGCTGAATATCTGCTTATTTTTCCACTTTAAAAAAAAAAGAAAGACTGATAAAGAGCAGCTTTCTGAAATTCCTTTCAGGGCACTGGTATTTAACCTTAATGCACTGAGTTTTTTGTTACTTGGATGAATTTGTCTACTGAGATTGGGGGGAGCCAATTGATAATAAAATCTGTAAATCTGGAATTTAGGTCCAAGGGATAGATCGAACTTGGGCTCCTGATAATAACAGACCCTGGAGCAAATCTGAGACAGAGGAGTGTCCTGATCTTCTGCTGAGCTCCAGAATCCATTCTGCCCAGCCCAAGGTGGAAGCCAGGTGGGACCCATGGAAATCAAGTTTTGGTACCTCCCGTTCTCCTGCTATGTCCCAGTTATCAAGCAGGAAGACAGTCGGGGCTCCCAGAGTAAATATTTTCCAGCCTCCCTTCTGTCTCTCTCAGGCTGTGTATTCTCATCCTCCTACAACATCCCACATTTTTTTTTTAAACCCCAAATGATCTCCTCTTACTAGGGCACTACCACGGTAATGTTTTATTATTTCCTCTTCTCACAGAGCATACTGAGATGGCCACAGGGCTCATTGTCTTTTTTTTTTTCCTCTCACAGATGACTTTGGTTAGTTTTGAGGATCTATTTCTTCAAAACACTTGTAAGAATTACAGTCTAGTAATAGGCATTCTCAGTGCCCATTTCCAAATATAATGAAGTGCTATCAACACCCCAAAAACACACCTGCTCCGGCACATGAGCCGCTAATGAGGATATGAAGCTAGCATTTGCATCAGTTTTAAGTGCCAGGGATGCCTTTCCCTGAACACCTTTGTTCTTTAAGAATCTATTCACAGTTAAGGGGAAAGAATATTCAAAAGCGAGCCATTAGCACATTATTGAATTCTTGTTTCAAGCAGACAGCTGTGTTATTCGTAACGCAATAGGGTATATTTGCTGATGCCTCGACGCTGTTGCCTCGACGCTGTTCTTTTGACTTCCCTGAATTTGACACACTCAGCACTCAAGTGCATATGGTTTCATGTTGTTTCTTATTTTCATTACATGTTTCCTCCTTCTGAATCATAAAAGCCTCACTAGATATCCAGAGGCCTAGAGTAATAAACACTTCATTATGAAAGCTTCCCTTGTCTCCACAAATTCACCGAATTAAAAATCCTTCATTTATTGAAACATGCTTGAAACTTTCCACAAGAGGTTTTTGACAATTGCTGGATTTGTTTGGCAGGAAGAATGGAATGTTGGAGGGAGAGTGTGAGTATCCAAGAAATGTAAAAAGGCATATTTATAGAAGAAAAAAAAATACCACGAAATAAAAGCACATAAGTAGTGTTACGCACACTATTTGTTCTCCTTGGTCTTCTATTGCCATTATGTGTCACTGTAAGAAACAATCCCATTCCTTTTGTCTCCAGTCAGGCTTATCATTCCCATTATGTTCTGCTCTCCTTCTGGCCTCCTATTTCATCTCTTTCAATAATAGTAGACTAAACTGCTTTTTTCCCCTCACTTCTATTACATGAAAGTCAAACCTAGATAAATTTACTACTTACTTATCTTGTATCCCACACCTTCAGTTATATATATTTTTTAAAAACCCAATATTTAGGATATTTCATTAGGGAAGAGTGTTAAGTGCTTTTGGCTTAGAAGTGATTTGCTACCCAGACAAGTGTTCTTGATTTCCACCATTTATGACCTCCTGGCACCAGTGAGACTCACCCTTCTGCAAATGAAAAGTAGAACCTGTTTTAGGTAAAGATCAATGAAGAGAAAAATCTCAAGGTGATTAGCCCTAGAGATTCATTCCAGTCACTGCTGAGTGACTGCCAAGTCATTGTCATTAGTTTGAAAAACCTCCAGCTCAACTTTCAAATAAGATGAAGAGATTAATTTACAGCAAGGATATGCCCACCATGGAAAGAGCTGAGTAAGTATATCACCCTGTAGTTGTCATCACACATGGACAGAGGGATGGAGAAATTTGCAATTGTCAGAATTCCTAGTATTGGGAACCACCAATTTTCCAGATAGTTTTAATCAAACATAGTATTCTGTCAACCGCCTTCTTTTGCTTTTTTAGGTGGTCCGAGATATTCTCCTGATTGGACATAGACAGGCTTTTGCATGGGTTGATGAGTGGTATGGTAAGTCAACTTCCCCCAAATAACTTACAGAACAACTTCATAACATGTTGGCTTGGGCTTCCAGTCCATCTGGCTTCTACCGCTACCTAGAGAGACATCAACAAAGGCAGGGCTTTTGTTTCCTGTATTGGAAATAGCACTGTCCAAGGACATAATGAGGAAGGATGTGATGACAGAAGCTTGCTCTAAAATAGCCACAACACTCAGTTATTGACTAAATAGGACCTCCGTATGTTTGATGCTTGCATACTTGATAACAAAGGGCTCATGATTGATTCTCTGTTGGATGGGTTTCAAACCCATCCCCATTTATCCCAGACTTCAAGATCAATGCTGTCTGAAGCATCTTATCAAGTGAAAGCAGCCCTTTAATGTAGCGAATACTTGAAACACTCCATCTCCAAAAACGCAGAAGACTTCAAGGGCAGGGGCTTAAGTGTACCCTTAATCCTGAGACTATTGTTCTAGTTTTGTTTAAAATGATTTGGGAAGAATTAAACAAGTTCTGCTTACTTCCAGCAAATGGAAAGAAACAAGATATGTTTCATACCGTGACGGACGGACCACCGTTCCCAGATCCCCAGCACGATCGTTTTGTCCACGTGAATCCTCCACATTCCCAGAATCAGTCATCAGAGGCTAGTGTCCTTGACTATAAATAGAAACAAACATGCCCAGTTGGTGACTTGGGGTAGATCTGATTGCCTAATGAAATGCCCTTCTCCTCGGCCTTTTCCTAAGTCCCACTGAATTTGTTCTCAGTGTTACCCTAGATTGCATTTTGGTGCCTTTCTACCATTGTTCCACCAACCCCCTTCCTCCTCTTAGCAGAAGGCATCAAACTTAAATTGAAAAGTTACATTGGACTGAGTGGGCAAAGCCAGTGATTGTTATTAATGTTTGCTGTTTCCAAACCACATTTTAAAAGACAGGGTTCTGTAGGCTATGGGCATGCTTTTTTTTTTTTTTTTTTTTGCACACTTTTCCCAGATCCACATCTTCTGGAAGGCAAATGCATCTTTGCATCTTCCTGGGTTTGCCCAAATGCAGACCTCTGAAAGAGATTCTTTCGAAAGAGCATCATTTGCTGTCTCTTATCACACACCCCCTCCCCAGGGTGCTGCTCACATGCAGCAAGTGCGCTGACTCCCCACACTGTCTTCCTAACACCTATTTGTGATTGTCCTTTGTGAGGGAAGTGGAGGGAAAGTTGCTTGTGATTACTTCCCCTGATCATTAAACAAATCTTTCTGGTTGTTTTTTTCTGGGGAGATTTTCTCAGATTCTTAGAGGGAGCACAAACACCCCAAAAGGTTAAGAACTGCTGGTCTCCCCCAACTTGCACACCTCCACGCTCTTGGCATCCTTGCCACCCGACAGAATTTCAAAAGGATATTCAAAGAAAACTAGGCTCAAACGAGTGAGAAGTTTGGCAAGTGAACAGAAGCCTGAAGGGCCAAAACACTGCCACACTGAAGACTGAGAGACAGGGCGCGTTAATAGATGTCTATTGAGTGCCGGGTCACCATAGAGGACTTTTCAGAAAAGGCAGCATCAGAAAGGGTAGCCGCACCCCGATTAAGAGGACAAAACCCTGCAGGCCTGTGGATCAGAAAAGAGAGTTTAAGTAGAGGCAGGATATAGAAAAACAAAATACGGGCAGGCGTCTAGTAAGGGAACAGCTGGAGTGCAGAGGATGGGGGCCAGCTGAACCCTCAGCAAGGAAGAGACTTAAGACTTTCAGTTAAAAAAAAAATTTCTCAGACTACTGCAGGGGCCCAAAGCTAGAATAATGCTTCAAAGAAAGCCCTTTAAGAAGAAAATATCTACCTATTTACTTAAGATGGGTGAGGTAGAGACAGAAATTAACTCAAGGAGTCTACAGACAAAAAGCTCTTTCTATATCTGAATGCAAAAAAACAGAGTGTGGTTTAGTGGATGTAGATCGTCAGGGCGCCTCGTACTCCCCAGAGAAGCTCTCCACCCCCTGTGTACACAATCTTAGCCCCAACCAAAACAAGCAGCCTTTTCACTCAGTAAGGGGTCTGAGAACCACCCCATCAATTTCATGTAAATTACTGGCATTGCTGCCCCCAGCCTGAGCTGCTTGCCAGGAAAACCGTGGTTCCTTCATTACCCAGATGCAGACACTCAGTCAGTCAAATGAATGGAAATGGCCCTGCCCACAGCCCCTTGTTCAAGCAAATGCTGGGGACTGCGGACCTTTCGGGTAAGTGGGTGTGTCACTGTCCACCAGAACAGCCTTTCAGTTTGGGGTACCTGAATTTGCTTATTTTTCTTTGGTCAATACAGGCTCAGTGAAGCCCTTGTTAGTAAACAGAAAAGGTTCAAAGTAAAGAAACCCTTTCCTATAGCTTGTAGCGCTTATTCCCAAAGTGAGGTCCCTGGGCCAGCAACATCAGCACCCCTGGGATGTTATTACAAATTTAGATTCTCAGGCCCCACCCCAAACCTACTGAATCAGCTACTCTGGGGGGATAGCCCAGCAGTCTGTGCTTTAATGAGCCCCCCAGATGACTCTGGTGCTCACTAAAATTTAAGAATGACTTTAAATCAGATTAGATGAAAGGAAAGTTTAATTAATTCAGTCCAGATTTAATTAGGCTAGAGAATGGGAAATGTCTTCAGGGCCAACTGCTAAAAACTCTGATGGCTTCTTAGCATTAGAAAAAGGCGCCCCTTCTGGGCGGATTCAGCTGCTGCTATCAGCTTAGGGCTGAATTTTAGCTCCACTGACCTGCTGGGTTGTGTCCAAACTGTACGCCTGTATGCTGTGGCAGCCCTGGATGTCTTTTTCCCTAATTAGACTCACCACCTCCAGTGCTTAATTAAGAGTTAAAAAAAAAAAAAAAGCACATCGTAGCTGACAGTGATCTTTTCTTGCCCAAAAATCAATTTTGTATCTTTTCTGAGTTTCAGCATTTGGCTGTCACATAACTGTTTCCCTAAATAGATTTTATTCTGCTCTTGTTCGTTGTAAAGCATAACCATTTCCCCTGTTGGTGGAGTTGAGTTTGTCTTTCAAAGCTTCGACTGGTCTTTATCCGTGAGCCTTGGCTATCCCCTGCATGACGGGAGCACTGATCAGAAGAAACAACAGCACATTTCAGAAGATAGGGTGGAAGGGGAGGTGGATAAAAATAGGCAGCCCAGCTTCCCCAAAGCATGGTTTTGCTTCACAAATGTGACAGTGTTTTGAGAGAAGAACACAGAGGGCTGCCCGAGGGAGGCTGTGATTGAGTGGAACCTCATGAATCCTGACCCTTCCAGAAAAGTATATGGGATAGTTCTGGCTAGTATAGCTGAAACTCCAGAATGAAAGTGACTGAGCGAGCATTCAGGAGTCCTTAGAGCTTCCTAACAATGAGTGAAGCAAGCCCAAGGTGGAAAAGAAGACTGCTTAGGGACTAGCATTAGCTGGTTGAGTTCACCAAGCCAGCGTTTTCCAGCGGCCTCAGGCTTCCTGAAATACGATCTTGAGTGCCGTGGCTCTTACGCAACCCTTTATATGTGCTTGCTTACATTCGTTTTTATGAGAAGAGAATCCATAGCTTTCCATTAGATTTTTAAAGGGATCTGTGACCCCCTCCACCTCCCCAAATTAAGAACTATGGAAAAAAATCACAACTGTAGATTACAATTCTAGATCTTAGTGGTCTGAATCACATGGAAAGGGTATGCACCAAGCCTTGAGGATTGGCTTCTTTTACTACAAAAGAGTGGAGCCACCCCTAAGCTATTTATAACAAGCATCTATTGAATTTATAACCATTTTAAGGAGTTTAAAAAAAAAAAAGCACTTCCCAAAGGATGGCCACCATTTTGCTAGAGTCAGAGATATCAAATCTAATGTTGAAGCTTTCTCCAACCCCTGACCCAACCACTTGTTTAAGACTTTCATCTTGATTTAAAGCCAAAAATAATTACTTCTGTTTAGGCTGACAAGCCTGGAAATGGAGAGACAATGTTTGTAGGAGGAAATAAAATATAATGTGCCACTGGACAGGTCATTGAATTAAAGTATAAGGCTCTTTATTAAAACTGCAGCTGCTGCAGCTATGCAGTACAATGAAGGAAAATTCTTACTTGCTGGCATTTTGTTCCATGGCATTTATAGTTCATATTCAACTGACTTCTATCCTAAAGGCCTTTCAAATATACAGTCTTGCCTCTACTTCCTGTGAAATCAACCTGCCTTCTAGAATAAAATGATTGAAAGAAAACTGCCACCATAAACAAAGTTGAAAGACTAAGAAAAGCTACTTGCAACATATGTAGCCAGCAGAGGACTAATATCTATAATATATAAAGAGGTCCTATAAATCAAAAATCCAACAACTCAATAGAAAAAAAGTAAAGGACATGAATAGGTAAACCGTGGAAGAAGAAATGCGAATAAGCAACAACATTACTACTAATCACAAGAAATGTCAGGAAAACAACAAGAAGATAAGACATTTGCCCATCTAATAGCAAAAACTTAAGAGTGATAATAATCCAATTTTGGATAGGTGGGAGAGCACACTAACAATTTCTATTTTTTAAAAATGACAACGATAAGTACAAATAGCCTATGACCCACTGATTCCACTTATACAAATTTATCCTTAAAGAATACACAGTGTTCATGAGTACAAGTGCAAAGCTATTCAGTGTAGTGTTGTTTCTAAAAGCTTAAATCTAGTCTCCATGTAAATGTCCATTAGCAGAGATATGGTCAAGTGAATTATGAAACACTCACACTATGAATATTGCGTGCAATGATTAAAAAGAATAAGATAGTTCCATATGTACTGATATGGAAATATGCACATTTTCCATTAGTGGAAAAAGCCAGAACAATATGTATAGTATAGTGCATATAGTATGATTCCATAAATGCAAAAATAAGTGAGACTGTAAGAGTGTGTGTGTGTGTGTAATAACAACATACATGTGAGTTCATAGGGAAAAATCTGGCCATGGTTATCTCCAAGAGGCATAGGATTGATAAGGGAAGTTAAAAGGAACTAAACTCTTTTCTCTGTATAAACCAGTACTGTTTGAATTATTTCTGTGGAGCATAATTCATGCACTAGTTAAGTGATTCAATAAGTAAATAATAATTGAAACCCATACTTTGTTAAAAAAAAAAAAAAGGCCAAAAATGGCTAAAGCAGACCAAGACTCGGATTGCTGAGGTACATTTTGCTGTTTAACAAAGAACCTTAGTTCACGGTTTAGGAAATGGAAGAAGCTTCCTCAATTAACAAACTCCCTGAGTCCAGAGCATCTCTGACAAAGCTGGGCTGGTGGTAGAGAAGAGGGGCCCACCCAGGCCAATTCAGTGTGGCCGCCACATGCTGGGATAGGAGACTGGGTCTGCTTACTCCCCTCACCTGAAGGCGGGCGAGAAAGAGGAGGAAGAAATGGTCTTGCAAGAGGGCAAAGATGGGAAGTCTTGCAATGAAGAGGACATTTTTACCCCCAGATTATCAGGCACTCACTGACAACCAAGTGTCAAAGATACTAGGATATACATTCCTTATCAGAAGAAATTTGGTTCTAGTTGGAATAATGTCTTAAATCAGGCAGGCCAGTGTTATTTTGTTTAAGAAGCCTTCATTTAAGAAAGTTTGCTTAAGAAGAGTAAAATATGACCTTTCAAATCTATAAATTTAGTGATTATCAGTTTATTTGCAAAATGATTGACATTGGATTCCTTTCATTAAGAGTTTCTCTGATCACATAAGCACTTACTTGTTTGCTGGGAGCAAAGAGACCTGAACCTAAATTGTGAGAAGTCACTCTGATCATTGAAAATCAATCAGTAATGAAGATGAATCATCACTGAAAGTATAATCTGTCATTGGGCACGTGTAATTGAATTTACTAAAAAATTGATTCATATATATAGATTTCGAGGTAATATACTTTGCAGAAGCAAGACATAATGCATTTTACCAGATAACCTGAACAGGAATATTTTCGCTTGATTAGGCTCTCCATAAATTACTGAGGAATACTGAAAATGTTGACATCATTTCCTTAAGCGTGTATGGTATGTGGGGATAGTTCAGGATTTGATCAGCATCAGCTGGGACCAAATTATCATTTTTTTAGAGGACTACTTTACTAGAACTGTTCATTCTTATATAGTCTGAGAGATTTTTTTTCTCTAAGATGAAATTTTCTGCAACTTTCTTTTCTTTAAAAAAAAAAAAAAGGGATCATGTTTCTAGAACAAGGAGAAATTCTAGAAAAGTGTCTCCTTACCAATTCACAAATTTGTGGTATCTGTCTACTGATGACCCCAAATAATAGATTTTTAAATAATGTTCTTTTTCTTTGTTACATAAGTAATGCATATTTGATGTAGAAAATTAGGAAATAAAGATAAGCAAAAAGGAGAAAGTGCAAATTACCTATAATTCCAACTCCTCAAAACAATCCCTGTTAACATTTTGAAACATACCATTTCAGTTTTTTTAAACGTAACTTTTGTGTTTTTTTAATGTATATTGTGCAAAAATGATTTCATACGTGTACAATCTTTTTACTTCCAATTTTTTTAATTTAATAATATACCAAGAACATTTCTCTATAGTGTTAAATATTCTTCTACATCATTTTTAGTGACTGTATAACACTGTCAGGTCTCTGAGTTGTTTTCAGTTTTTCACTATGATGAACAAGATAATGACGGGTATCTTTATGATTAAATCTTTCTTCACATCCATAAAAACTGATGTATCTTTGAAAGCACATAGTCACATAGTTTAAAGACCTCTCTTAAAATTGAGCTAATTAAAGATAAAGAGTGATTTCTGTTGAGATTCACAAGAACAAAGAAACTAAACAACCTTTGTTTTTGTTTTCGAAATTCCTGTCATGCCGGTGAGGGGGAGAAGTAAACTGTATAATGAACATATGTATAGAGAAATTCTTTCAATTTTAAACTTTTAACTTAAAAATGACCTTAGTATTCATTCCAGGTGTATTTGTGTTTAAGAAATTTTGATGGCTAGTCATTGAAATTAAAGTGATTGTATTGAAATGATGTGTTATTGTTAACTAAGATATATTTGTTCTAATCACAAAGCAGCATCTCTTTACTGCTTTCCAGTTACCTTGATTTTCTAAAAGAAAAGCATGCTCTTCGCTTGGCCAGACTGTTGCCTAGCCTTCTTGATACTTGCATTGCTCACAGACAGCATTTCTTATTAACCATTTTGGGGTGTGGGAAGATGACCAGCTAAATAAAATAGCCCAGGTCTGGATTTAGAGCTGCCCTCCGTCTTGGCCCCAGACCACACTGAATTCATTCATACACTTCTGGCAGGTCTGCCCTTTGGAAGTGAAGAGACTCTCACATGACACACATGGAGTGATATAAAAAGACACCGATCCACATGATGCAGAAAATACTTAAGGAGAAATTCCAGCTGTGAATACCCACTCTAAATCCCCACCAGGCTAACTGGTGATGAGGGCAGTCGTTTGATTAACCAGTTGTGGAGCATGTACAATTCATTGTAAAGAGGCATGAAGTTAAATTCTGCCAGGAGAGCAACAGAGGAATGCCCATCTGGGGAAATTGCTGGTAAAATGTAAAATAACCAGGGAGTGGAGTGGGGAGTAGAGGATAAAGCAACAGAAGTATTTAAAGTGAGATTAACTGTTATTTGTATGCATTCCACATTCTGGAGATGAATGGGTTCTTTAAGCTTTTTATCAGTCGGATTTAGACAGGGTTTCTCAGCCTCAGCACCACTGACATTTTGGACCGGACAATTCTTTGTTGGGGGGTGCAGGGGAGTACTGTGCATCATAGGATGTGCTGCAGCACCCCTGGCCTCTACCCACTACATGCCAGTAGCACCTGCACCCCAGCTGTGACAACCGAAAATGTCACAAAACTGGCGCCTGTTGAGAACCCCTGGATTAAGAAACCATTATTCTGAAATACCAAAAAAATCACAGGCTCAGACCAAAAATCGTAATGTCACCTGCCATTTTATTTATAGACCAGTGGAGGTGGGAGTAGTGCCAGCCATCTTCCAGCTGTTAGGCTAGACTTGAAGTTCAGTGTAGACCTGCACTCTTGGACACCATGTATTCTGTGCAAAAGTACATCTTGGTGTGAGCATTGCACCAAACCTCAGCGGTGCCAGTGAATGTCATTTCTCTGCCTTCTATGTCCTGTCTCTTATAATAGCAATGAAAGTGTCCTTTCTGTTGTTGAATGCATTGGTTTAAAGAAGCGCCAAATCTATTTTGAAAGGTATATGAAAGGTAAGTATTTAACCACACAAACCTGACCCCGTCCCTCAAAAGGATCTTCTAACTATGCTCTTAGGAGATCTCGGGCTACGGCACCCTCCATGTGCTAATACTTTCTCCCACCGAGCTCACTTTACAAGAATCATCCCTAAATAATCTCCACTCTTCTCCGTTCTGACTATTTTGACTTAACTTCCTTGTACTGACTCCCCCTTTGGCTGGTTTAGCTAACTTTATGATTGACTCTTCATAAAGTTAGTGAATCCCCTGCTTTTTACACCTCTCCTTGGCTTCTGCTAAGCTACCATCATTCCCTAAAGTCTTCCCCATTGAAAAGTTCGCCTTTAATAATGGAAGTTGCCAACGTCTTGACCTTCTTTCAGATATGACAATGGATGATGTTCGGGAATACGAGAAAAACATGCATGAACAAACCAACATAAAAGTTTGCAATCAGCATTCCTCCACTGTGGATGACATAGAGAGCCAGGCCCAAACAAGTGTATGTAGAATTTTTAAAACATGTTGCCCACCCTTTACCGAACGTACACCTAAACTGATCTTTGAAATGACTTCACACGCTCAATTCTCAAACTTGCACAAAAAAAGTGTCGTCGCCCAAAGGCTGTCTGTGAAGAACAGGAGCGGGTCTCAGTTGGACAGCGTTGCCTCTTGCTTCCAGACATTTCCATTCTTTTAAGCTGCTTGAATTGGGGGTTTTTTTGGTCGTAAAACCAAGAACACAGAGAGTGGAAACAATTTGTGGCCTGCACCACAAGAGAACAGAGGGGTAAAAACAGATGTCATACAAAAGCTAGACCATCAATGCCAGTAACTTTTAAAGACATAGTTAACAGTCAGTTATTCATCTAAGGGAGGTCTTCGGGCTCATCTGGTATTTTAGGTTTCTTTACATTTGCTTTGAAATGCTTTCTACGGCTCTTTAAGGCTGTTTTACCCAAACAGTTCCTTTCTACTTGGGTTCGTGTCAAGATGGGGCTGCCGTCTATGCATACACACTGGCTAAGCAGGGAAGGAGTAGTGACCAAGGACCATTCTAGATCTAGCCTGGGACTTAGATAAGCCCCAGAGAGCCTGAGGTTATTGAATGCATGTTGGTGATTGAGAGCTGACTATATGGTGTATGCCAGCATCTTCAATATAGTTCTATCTCAATCATTCATGCTGGTGAAGGGGAGTTACAGATAATAAAGAAAATGTGATCACTAAGTCTTTTACATGTATCTTTGGCCAGAGCTGTGATCTCTTTGGGTGCCAGCTTGCGCATGCCTGTTAGCCTCAGAATAATACACGGTGAGGTACTTAAGAAATTGACAGTGTGGTTATAGAAAATTGAGAGATGGCTATTACTGTCAATACTTTCAATTTGTGAAGACCTTTGATTGCACTTTGGAAATTTCTAGTTAACTTTTAAGAGCATGTCTTTGGAATGTGCCCTGTGAAGGCTCATGCACTGCCACTGGATGCATGCGACTGTCCTTGAGGTTGAAATGGCCCTAACTCTTCCTCCCCAATCTGCATGCAGTGATTGGATTTGCAGAAAGCTGTTTGGACCAGGCTTAACTGAGGTGTTCCTCTGTAGGCACAGACCATTTCAACAGGACTTCCCCTTTCCTCTCTCCCTTTTCTAAAGATAGAAATGCTCATTTAAGAAACTGTCCTTGAATTTCCATCACTTTCAGTTACCTTTTCTTTAGGAATGTCAGACACCAGTCCCCCCTCAGCCGCTCTCTGAAAGCCGCTCACTATAAGGATAAGCGTGGCCAGACCGAGGAAGCCAGAGGAAAGGGGAAGACACCCAGAGGATATCCACAGTGCTTTCCTCATTCTGAGTTCTCCCGGCTTACAGCTGAAGACCGGTTTTCTTTCCGTTTTACTACGGTTGCTATTAGGAAGTCAGTTTACTATGTAGAAGGTGATGCCTGCAATGGTTCCCCCCATGGGAAAGCCCATGCATTCTCTGCCTGCAGGCCAGTCCTTCCCATGACTTCTGTGTTAGAAGTTACACAAAGTGGTTATCTTTAAATATTTGCCACATTTCCCTTATTCTTTGGAATTCTGTCAAATTGGGGGTCGTTTATTTTTCCATATTTTTCTTCTCTGTCATAATGAAAAAGTTGAAATCAAGAGGCTGCTGTCCATCACAGATAAAAACTGCATGGGTGCTCAATAAGTTTGAATCATCGGCCTGAGTAGAGACAAACTGGATTGAAATTAGGCAAAATCAACATCCATGACCATGGCAATAGGGAAATAATGGTCTCCTTTTCAATACTTTCAAGGAAGGGAACTTCTAAGAAGACTCTGAAGGCAGTGTAAAATCAAAATTCTGTACTTTGGATGATTTCTGCCCCCTGCTGGATATGTGGTGTAGAGCACTATACTCAGCCACATACAGAAAACCTGATTTTTCAAAGATGATATCCATTTATGATAGCAGAAATATACTGCTGAAATTCCTAGAGGTTTTTCTGAGTCTCAATTTTATTTTGAAATAACTTTAAAAAATTTAGTTGCATTTCTTAGGTGGTTTAATAGCCTTAGTATTTTGTTTAAATGGTTAGTCTCCAGGTAACAAATTTTTCTTGCTGTATCCTGAATTTTATATTCTGTCAACACAGTCATAATTTTTTATTTCCTTGTAAATACTTTTCTCTTTCAGAAAATTTTAATAGTTGACCCCAGGAAATCCTCTTAAGGATTTTGTTTTTTGAACAACATTTCTGGTTGGTTCATATGTTACCATATGACTGTATGTGATTAATACCATGTTATGAATATTCACTCCATAGTTAATATTTCCAAAGCAGCTGTATTGTTTCATGCTAGCTTATGCAGTATCATCTAGTGAAGGTTTCACCTACTAAGTTCACGGGAGAGGGCGAGAATGAAAAATGGGTCTCTGGGAAGCTAAAACAGACGTAGAGATCCCTAGGCAGCGGATTTCACCTTTTTCTCAAGGACAAGCTTGTAGGCCTTCACTCAGTACTTTTTCTGATAAGCCCAGTTACCCATTTTCCCTGTTACCAGTAATACAATTGGCAAAGGATACCAGGGATATTCCAGCCTGAGAGGGATTAATAATAACCTTAATAGTAGTAGTAGTAGTAGTAGTAGTAGTAGTAGTAGTAGTAGTAGTAGTAGTAATAATAGAGTTCCTGAGAATGAGAGAAGAGATATAAAACTATATAAAGCAAATTGGCCCTAAGAAAGAGGTCATCACTGTACTGTAACACAGTGTTATACTTTCAGCCTATTATGTGTTAAAGATAATAAGTGTATATAGTACATTATTTAATGTATTTACATTAGGGAGAGATTCACATTTAATGAGTTTCGGTTTTTTGTTTTTGTTTTACTTTCTCACGTAATAAGAACATTTCAGGTATTTAGAAAATCTACATCATCTGACAATGCCTGTTAAATGAATTTATTTCTGAAGTGCCAAATAATGCTCCTTTTTTCTTTTAAGTAAAATTCTCACCCATTAAGCCATCCTCTCTTTTTGTTCTCTACTCTTTTTCTCTTTATGTTTACGTGAGAAATGGTTTTCTTGGTTTGGGGATAATTAGCAGAATTTGTTGTTGTCATATCTTACCTGTTTTTTAAGATGAAGTGCTTAAAACACAGCATCTAAAATCTTGGGATGGATACACAGCCAGGAAACAAGTAACCCCTAGAACGCAAAAAGTATGTTTATTGAGTAAGAGCATAGTGTGTTGAGAAATTCTGATCTGCCTGTTTGCCCTATAAAGATATGCTTGTATTTTCATGATCTAAAGTAGGTAATAATACGTATCATCTTTGAGCCATTGATTGCTTTAATTACCTTCCCTTTATAGAAAGGATGGCCAGGCCTAATAATAGCTCCACGTCACCGCACCTTACCTACAACACACAGGCGCACATACACACACAGCTTTGCTGTGGCTCCCTACCCCCTCATAAGTTCTTATTCAGAATACTTAAAATACTCACTGAAGAGTGCTTTGGAAAATCTTGGATGGATATTCATACAGGAGTATCTTTTCAGAGGTTTGCCTCAGTAAAAAGATAATTCAGGGTTTAGCATTTCAATGACAATTTGGGTTTATAATCTGGAGACGCCCTTTGATCGTAGGGTTCTGATAGGTCCTTTAAAAACAGGAAGAAAGAGGTGAATCCCTTGGCTTCTCTTCTAAATACCCTCTCATTTTTCTTTCTATTTTTTTCCTCTAAGACATGACAATGGATGAAGTCCGAGAATTTGAACGAGCCACTCAGGAAGCCACCAACAAGAAAATTGGCGTTTTCCCACCTGCCATTTCTATCTCCAGCACCCCGCTGCTGCCTTCTTCAGTCCGCAGTGCCCCTTCCAGTGCTCCATCCACACCTCTGTCCACAGATGCACCAGAATTCCTGTCAGTTCCCAAAGATCGGCCCCGGAAGAAGTCCGCCCCAGAAACTCTTACACTCCCAGACCCTGAGAAAAAAGCCACCCTGAATTTACCTGGCATACACTCTTCAGATAAGCCATGTCGGCCCAAATCAGAGTAACTTCATATGAATATTTCATGGGGTTTTATATTTTCAGTTTTGTTTTTCTTTTTTTTTTAAGACTCTTCTGATACAGAAAAAGACTGTTTTGTCACTCAGACGTGTTCCTTTGATCTCTTGAGTGTGCATGTGGTTAAGTAATTTCACATATAATATGAGTCCCTAAGTATGCCACACAGCGTCATATTAGATGTAAAATGAAAAACTCGCAAAGGACAGAAGGAATCTTCTGTAGCCACAGCTGGATGCCAGGGAGGAAGCCTTGTTATTGGGCATTTGAGGAGGTTGGCATCGACGTCAAGGGTAAATAAATGAAAACTCTGCACCACTGTGTTACAAGGTGCAGTAAAATAGTGAAGTCAGATTCCTCCCATCAAGCCTGAAATTCTCAAAAATATTCTCAGGTGTAACATACCTACTTGTTAAATTTTGAACTGCTCATTACCAATACTTGAATACCAGTAGTTACTGAGATTCCTATTTTGATTAGTCTGACTCAGGATTTGGGGCCTAATTAACTCTTTAAAATTGGGGGAAATTTTAATTATCAACCTGTAGAGGCTCCAAGTGCAATTAATGATAACTTATTTATACCTTTCACAGAATTTAATAAAGATTCCACTTGTTTCTGTCTTTTAATAACTTTCCCCTTTGTGCCCTTGTGGCCTCAGAAATCTTTAAGAATTATGTGGATGAATGTGACCATAACTGACTGATTTTTGAATGATTTGGCTTAGGAACCAAGAGACCCAGGTGAGGCAAAACATCTTCTTTTTCCTACAGGTACCAACGAACCTTGACCTGTCGACTTCCATCATCCATTAAGATTCTCAGAATTTGTAGTTAATTGAGTAGAATTCACTGACTATTTGCCCATTCAAAGAAGTTTAAGGGTAGAGAAAGCTAACTGGACTTTAACACTGTCAGAATTGTCTCCCATCCCCCTCCTCATTTTACCCTTAATGACATCCAGGCTTCCCTGGAATCGATTGCCCATCTCCAGACCTTAGAAAAGAGTGGCATTCTCTTGCTCCTTACTTGGGAATGTCGCAGAAGTCGAGCAGACAGTCAAGTGGGAGGAGAGAATGCGCAGGCTTGCTGACTCCAATATGTAGAGTGAAAGGAAGGAGTGATAAAAGATGCCCCTCTGTCTAGCTTTCTTTTCTGCGAGTCGTGGTAACGCAAGATTAGAATCAAGGTTGACGGGAGACAAGATCATTCACCAAAGTGGCGGAAAGAGAACTCTCCTTTGACCTAAAGAGAAAAAACTCTGCCACCTTCGCACCTCACTGCCTTTAAACACAGAAGGAAGAGCAAACAGAATCTAGCATTTACTTCTGTCCTCTGAGAGAGGAAGAGAACAAGGTAATTGGGCAACTCCGAGGCCCCAGCTAGCCTTCCTGACCATAACCTCCAACCTCAGGTAAGGGACCTTCCCCAAACAGATTCCAAAGGACACAACACAGACCAAGGAGCGTATCCTCCTCCTCTTACACAGCCTCTCAGCCAGTGGACCCTGCCTGCTTCTCTCTCTCAGTGCCCAGCACTCTGCATAGTGTCTTTCAAGTTGACAAACTCTCCCAAGGTGCAGGTGCTGGCCCCAGGAGCCCAGCACCAAGTGTTCTAAGTCATATGTCAGATTGTCAAGATCATTTCTTTATCTGTAGGTTAACATTTAGCTTAGTAAATAAATAAACAAACCCAGAACTCAAAGGAAACCCATTGCAAATAGCTTAGATCAACAGTGCATCTCTTCCCTAAGAACGATAGCACCATAGTAAGACACTTTTGCATGGTATGGTAGCATGATTTTTGCTTGTGGGAAAACTCAAATCTTTTATCCAGACCTCTTGGACTTCTCAATGGCTCCCTCTCGACCCAGTAGTACTTAACAAGAACGTTTGGCTTTAGAAAGCAAAATGCTACTTTTCAGAAGACACTGATGTAGTGTGTGTATTTGCTTACCATTTGCAAGCTGAAATCAGGTGGGGTGGGGTCATTATTTTCGCATGGAATGGATTTATTTTGTGCAGGCTGGTAACACATCTGGCACCTAGTTTTTCCACTGATGCCTTTGCTGTTTTCAGTTTTTGTAGAGTAGCTTCTGCCACCAAGGTCAACAATTCTTTATGCTTTAGAAAGCTAATTTCTCATTTCCTACTGTGAGTTTTCTTTCTCTTATAGCCAGCACAATACCAACGACATTATGCAAAGCTACCAATGATCGTGTGATTCTTAGCCAACAAATATGTGTGCTTTTAAAGTATGTTCAGTTTTTCTGTCTCCATGTGGTTTGTGTGCATTTTAAAAGGGGGGAGGGGTGCGGATATTCCTTTGGCTGCTTTGAATATTTAATCAAGTCATCACAGGGCATAAATGACTTCAATATTTTATCTGTCTTGATTTTCAAGTGTCATTTCACAGTCTCCGTATATGAATTTGTTTATTGTGGGGTACAAGCCTGCGATGAATGTGTATATAGACCATTAATAATTCCTATATGGATGGAAATTAAATGGCTGCATGATGGAAACAGAAGAAAAAAAAGCAGAAACTTGAATTCATTAAGCATGTTTGGGGAAACATAGAATCTTAACTCAGTGCCTCTGTCTGCAATGTGGAAACCTTCAACTTTGTTCACCAAAACTGTATTATACCTGTATATATATATATACATATATATATATATATATAATGTAGTATAGTGAATCTGACACCACTAGTTTTAAGTCTCTGGTAGCCAAATTAAAATAAGTAATCCACAGAGTAACACAAATGTTCACCCCATCTTCATCTTTGACATTAAGTGGAGATCATCAAAATGATGATAAATGTCCTTACTTTGAATGGATTTCCAGTTACGAAATGCCCCCATGCTTTCCGCTGGCTGTAGCACAGCCTGTGGCCTTAGCTGTGCTTTCCCAGAAGAAGAAGGTCTCAGTGTTTTTACTGCATAAACTTTGTCAGAAGTCAGCTCTGAAGACCATTATATTTTCTTGCTTTTGGGCTGTAATAAGACAAAGCAAAGAAAAAGCATAACAACCAAGGAGTCCATGACATTTTTTGGTTACCACATTAAAAACAAAACACTGAGTTTGCTGGTGAACTAATTTATAAACACTTCCTGTTTTGGTTTTGCATCTGTGTGTGGGAAAAACGGTTTTAATTTATTTGGAGGTATTTATTAGCCAGGGTTTTGGTTGTGAAAATAAACCTCTATAAATAGCACAATTATGTGCATATAAGGCAGACACTTAAAAAACCCAGCAAAGCCCCCAAAAGTAATGATGTGGTTTTCTTCCAAGACACTGTAATAAACAGTGACTTAACAGAATAGATTCTGACACTTCTCAAGAAATCATTTTTCCAAGAAAATTTCAAGGCTAATGTATTTATGTGTATTTTTAAATATTACTTTCCTTAGCATCTAATCTATTCATGGTTCATAGACAACATGGTCACTGGCTGGCATAGGTCAATAGGAATTTTACTTTTCAGAAGAGTCAGAGCACCATTTACTTTACATGTGATGTGTACTTAAATAATCACAAGAGAGGATTGTTTAAATAGTTTTAGTCCCTTTCTGACCATCTGATTCAATAGGTTTGGTGACAATATGCCATCTGAGCCATAATTCTTGAAATTAAAAAAAAAAAATCTGTCCAGTGACTGCAATTGATCAGAAATAGGCTATTTAAAACTATTCTTTCCTGCTGAAACTGAAATGTTACACAACAGCACAACGATGATATCTGGAGGCCAGACATATCAGATTCTTCTGTGTTCTACCTTCAAAACAATCTGTTTCCTTTGAAATGTAAGTGTTTAAGCTTTTTAGGCATTAGTGCAATAAGAGAATGTGAATATATTGAGACCTTTCCAGATGCTGTTATTCCTTGTAATTTTGTTGTTACGTTACCAAATGGCTTTAGGGTAAGCCTCTCAGTGTTTTTGCTTAAAACCGAAAGCATGTGTGTTGAATCGCAAGTCTCCCTTTAGTTTCTGTGTGTCACCAAGGAGAGGTTCTTTGAGTTGATGTTATACCTATGCCACTTAGATGTAGCTTCAGGTGTCATTTTTAGTGTTTACATTTCGAGCTGGGATCTTGATTAGTTAAATGAGTCAGGACACCACTGCCACTGCTGAAGGACCAAGCATTGAAATGCACAGTGTCACTGACGACACTCAGAGCAAACAAAAGTTGATCCTCACACGTGCCATCCTCCTGTGTCATTTTATGGCTGTTTTGTGTTTTTTTTTCCAAGTTATTTATTATTGATAATGACTTACTTTTTTCTTACATTCTGTTGTAAATAAAGTACAAAGCAATCTCCTTTCCAAGTGTAGCTTCCTCTCTTTCCTTCTCAGCTGTGCTCAAGGGAACGTGGACAATTAGGAACTTGCAGGCCGAAGGGAAAGAAGCTGTCAAGCCAATAGCCGGTACTTAGACCCAGTGCTATGGGACTTGTGTGCAAAGACGCCTGGCCTGCTAAAGAGCATATGGTGTCTTCAGGGCCGGGCCCCTGGTAGGAACTGCCTGGGTGCCAGCTCTAACTATCTAGCCAAAAAAATACCCAAAGTGAATCTATAACTCAGTGGGATACACATCTAGATTCATCCATCCATCCAACAGGTACTTGGTTCCCCCTCATCAAATGTGAGGCAACCATCTGAGTGGTTAACCAAGAGAAACCACCCCAAGTGACTCTGTAGGAACACCACTCCAGATTCTTTCCACGGCAGGCAGGCCAGTCTCAGCTGAGCGGAAATCACTCTGATCTGATGATGGTGGTCTCTCTATCTCAAGTAGCTCCTGTCATTTACAAAAGGGAGTGGGTGGAGTGAGCACAGAAATGCTTTACTGCCCCTTGTTCAACAGTCTCCTCCGAGCTTAAGCAGTGATACACCTCCCCCTCTGCACTCTTCCAGTCAATCCTGTTGAGGTGGGAAGCCCCATGAAAAAGACCAGCAGGCCCCCTAGGGAGGACCATTACTCTCCTGCCAGCACCATCCAGTTCCCTAGCCCAGCAGCATTATCTCACTTTTTGCCTCTGAAATGGCTCACTTCTAAGAAAGTGGACGTTACCCCTAAGAGTCTATTGGTTCCCTGAGCTAACTCCTGATTGGTCCACTTGTAGCACTTCATCTGCATGGAGCTTACTCCTGATTGGCCCATTTCTACAAAGCTTGTTCCTAATTAGTCACCTTTGTTATACCTTATTTGCATATGA